GGCACTCTCCACCGCGGCTCGGCACAAGCCATCATTTCTCGGAAAGGTGCTGAGTCCACCACTTGGAAAGGGAGGGACTGCAGCACCAGCAACTTGGACAGGAGGACGTTCAGCTTCTGCACCGTCGGGTGCGTGCTCGCAAACTGTTGTCTCTTGGAAACGGATTCCAAGAAAGACTGCTGGACGGAATCCGTGAAGAGGAGTAGCAGGAGAAGGAGCATCTGAAGGAGATCTGAACGAGCGGAAGATGCCAACGAGCGACAACTCCCCTCAGCAGAGGTGTTGGAGCCTTGACTGGCTGATAGAGGGCGATTGACGTCGGGTGACGGAGCAAGTAACGGAGCGGGTGATGGAGCGGGGGCTGGGGCAGGCAGAACCGCCGTATCTTTATCACGGTTTTCCCAGGCCACCGAATGGCGACGCTGCATATGCTGACGCAACGCTGTAGTCCCAACATTGGCCCCCTGGCCACGCTTGACTTTCTGGCCACATAGTCGACATACGGCTACGTTTACTTCCTCGGGCGGCTTGACGAAAAATTGCCACAACCACCGCTACTCCTCACTGGAAACTGCCCCCGCTACTCCTCACTGGCTGACTGCTACTTCCTCCGTGCACACCGGCACCACTACTGGCCGTGGTGGTAGGCTGCAGTGGAGCTGGTGCTCTACTCCGTGGCCGTTTGCCTCCACTGACACTGCTGCGACCCTGCTGCCTCCTGGGCAACCCACCGACTGTTTTGCTCGCTGCCAAGCTGGCACCCTCTTCTCCTGATGATGCGGAAGCAATAGCCTGATGACGACGAGGCTGCCAAGTGCGATCAGCCTCATCATCATCAATTAGGGTCTCCTCCTCACTACTAGCCCCCTCGGCTGCGTGTGGGTCAGGAGAGACAGACCTGTCTCTAGACCGGCTACCGAGCCACTCTCCTCACCAGTACTTCTTCGCCTGGCTGCTGAAGAGGCGGATGTCTCCCCCCGTTCCTGACCGCCCTCTGTTAGCTCTTCCTCACTGTACAGTGGGGCTGAGCCCAACAGCATGCGATACTTCGCTTGGTGAGGGAACACCAAAGGACAGGGGCAGGTAGAGGACACGTGATTTCAGTGGGCTTGCTCCCGGGCCATGCCAACTAACGGTTGTGTCTGACGTACCCACCGACCGTTGGCTGTAGGTGTCAGAGGTGACCTGGGAAGAGGAAGACGACCGAGCCAACCAATCGATGACGGCAGGGTTGTCGGTGGAGACACGACCGCTGGATGACACCGGGAGCACTGGCCTCTGGCTGCGACTAGTGCTGCCTCGACCCCTTCCTCTGCTGCCACGTCTGCTCGCTCCTGAAACATTGCCTCCTCTGCCACTCCTCTGCGTGTTGTCTGACATACTCTTTAATTCTATAAGCACCTCAAAAATAACGTAACGATTCTGTGTCCCTGAGTAACAATTCTGTGTCTGTCCCTGAGTAACAATTCTGTGTCCCTCAGTAACAATTCTGTGTCCCTGAGTAACAATTCTGTGTCTGTCCCTGAGTAACAATTCTGTGTCCCTCAATAACAATTCTGTGTCCCTGAGTAACAATTCTGTGTCTGTCCCTGAGTAACGATTCTGTGTCCCTGAGTAACGATTCTGTGTCCCTGAGTAACAATTCTGTGTCCCTGAGTAACGATTCTATGTCTGTCCCTGAGTAACAATTCTGTGTCCCTGAATAACGATTCTGTGTCCCTGAGTAACAATTCTGTGTCCCTGAGTAACGATTCTGTGTCCCTGAGTAACAATTCTGTGTAACAATTCTGTGTCCCTGAGTAACAATTCTGTGTCCCTGAGTAACAATTCTGTGTCCCTGAGTAACAATTCTGTGTCTGTCCCTGATAACAATTCTGTGTCCCTCAGTAACAATTCTGTGTCCCTGAATAACAATTCTGTGTCCCTGAGTAACAATTCTGTGTCTGTCCCTGAGTAACAATTCTGTGTCCCTGAGTAACAATTCTGTGTCCCTGAGTAACAATTCTGTGTCTGCCCCTGAGTAACAATTCTGTATCCCTCAGTAACAATTCTGTGTCCCTGAGTAACAATTCTGTGTCTGTCCCTGAGTAACAATTCTGTGTCCCTGAGTAACAATTCTGTGTCCCTGAGTAACAATTCTGTGTCAGTCCCTGAGTAACAATTCTGTGTCCCTCAGTAACAATTCTGTGTCTGTCCCTGAGTAACAATTCTGTGTCCCTGAGTAACAATTCTGTGTCCCTGAGTAACAATTCTGTGTCCCTGAGTAACAATTCTGTGTGTCCCTGAGTAACAATTCTGTGTCCCTGAGTAACAATTCTGTGTCCCTGAGTAACAATTCTGTGTCCCTGAGTAACAATTCTGTGGAGTAACAATTCTGTTCCCTCATAACAATTCTGTGTCTCCCTGAGTAACAATTCTGTGTCCCTGTAAACAATTCTGTGTCCCCCTGAGTAACAATTCTGTGTCCCTGAGTAACAATTCTGTGTCCTGTCCCTGAGTAACAATTCTGTCTGTCCCTGAGTAACAATTCTGTGTCCCTGAGTAACAATTCTGTGGTCCCTGAGTAACAATTCTGTGTCCCTGAGTAACAATGCTGTGTCCCTGAGTAACAATTCTGTGTCCCTGAGTAACAATTCTGTGTCTGTCCCTGAGTAACAATTCTGTGTCCCTCAGTAACAATACTGTGTCCCTCAGTAACAATTCTGTGTCTGTCCCTGAGTAACAATTCTGTGTCCCTGAGTAACAATTCTGTGTCTGTCCCTGAGTAACAATTCTGTGTCCCTGAGTAACAATTCTGTGATCCCTACAGTAACAATTCTGTGTCCCTCACAGTAACAAATTCTGTGTCCCTCAGTAACAAATTCTGTGTCCCTCCAGTAAACAATTCTGTCCCTCAGGTAACAAATTCTGTGTCCCTCAGTTAACGGTTTCTGTGCCCTGAAGTAACAATTCTGTGGCCCTAAGTAACAATTCTGTGTCCCTGATGTAACGATTTCTGTGTCCCCAAAAGTAACGATTCTGTGCCTCCCACAAGTAACGTTTCTGTGGCCCTAAGTAACGTTTTCTTTTCCTGAGTTAACAATTCGTGGCCCTGAGTAACGTTTTCTGTGTCCCTGAGTAACTGTTTCTGGGCCCCCCCCTAAAGTAACGTTTCCTTCTGTGGCCCTAAAGTAACGGTTTCGGTATCCTTAGTAACGATTCTGTGTTCCACGGAGTAACGGATTCTGTGGCCCCTAAGTAACCGGTTCTGTGGGCCCTTAAGTAACGGTTCCTGTGGCCCAGAAGTAAAGAACGGTTTCTGTGGCCCCCTAAGTAACGGTTCTGTGGGCCCTAAAGTAAACGGTTCTGTGTCCCTAAAATCTGCTCCCCCTCAATACAGACAGCTCTGCCTCTCTTGACAATGACTGGAGGCTAATGCAGAATTCTAAAATGGCCGCAATTTATAGCTTATGTCAGGTGGTTGTGTATGAAAATTCTGTACTATTTTTATTTCCTCTGCAGTGGTGGTTACCAACAGAGCCCCGCCACACATAAAGTTTGAGCCCCCTATAATACCAATGAATGTATATCCAATTAATTTAGACCTTTCAGACAGATGGCCAGTATGACCCAAAGACTTTGGTAGGTGTCCATCAACTTTGTTTTAGTTCCTGCCATTATTACTCTTTGTCCATACAGTAAGTGAAAGGCACAGTTTTTCTGACATAATTTAAGCCAGCTGCATCACTTCTTGTGACATTATCAATGTGCTGTTAAAATGTGTCTATAAGATTTGGATTTCTGGTTTGTCCTGTATTGTCCTGGTAAATAGGAGTGAGGAAAAGGCCAGCATGGAAGCTTATATGATGTTATATCACAGGTAGCAGAATCAATATTTCCACCCCATATATTGTAGATGTGCACCCTAAACTGCTGTTCTTCTGAAAACCACAAATAGTTTAGTATACTTTTACAGTATTTGTATTATATACAATATTATTATATTATATTATATAAGGATCTAGAGCTTGCAATACACAGAGGAACTGATTATTTTTTATTTACTAGACACATGAATAGTTCCTTTTTCAACATGCTTTTCTACTACACATGGGGTAAGCTGAGTATATTTGTCTATGGACCAGTACACAACACCATACTAGCATATCTGTGAGGTGAGGTCAAGGCAAGTGAGGCAACATTTTGACCCAGTGGATATCATATCGATATATACCTGTCTAACCTGCTTTGGTCCTTCTTAGCAATTTTGGGAAATAACCTAGATGTTGTAGGTAATTTTTTTAAAGCAGTGTTCCAGTTGAAAAAAAAAAAAAAATAAAAGTCAGCAGCTACAAAACCTGTAGCTGCTGACTTTTAAAATACAAACACTCACTTGTCCTTTAGTCCAGCAGTGTCACCACCATGGCTGGTTTCTCCGGCCGTCTTCTCTCCCTGGCGCTGGCATCTTCAGTGTGGGCATCCAGCTGTGACAGCTTGTGGCTTCACAGTCGGGTGCCCACTGAGCATGCGGAAGTAGCACTGTGTTTTGTGAATAGCCTCGTAGTCTTCTGGGACCTGTCACGTGTCCCAGAAGACTACGGCAAGGGAGGACAACTTACACTTCTGATCGCCTTAGGCGATCACAATGGAAGTGGGGAGCGGGTACCTGTGAAATTCAGGTACCTGCTCCCCAAAGGTGCCAATCCTTAACGGGGAACAGCAGAGGAAGCCTTAAAGTGGAACTTTCCCTTTTGTGTGGAGCTCCGCTTTAAGCTTCATTCTTTTGTACAATGCAAAAGCCTGGACAAGAACACTCCATATTTTTTATATAGGTCTATGTACTAATACAACAAACAGAACAGGGCTAATCACTATTTAACTACATATGTGAGCAAAATGTATTAATGTATTAACTATTAAAAACTAAGCATTGTTCTGTATCCCCCCCAAGTGATATTCCATGTAAGTCACAGGCAAGTGCACTAAAGATTACAACACACACAGCATATAACATCAAGCACCTAGGCATGCAGACTGCTTTTACAAACGTTTTTGTGAAAGAATGGGTAGCTCTTAAGAGCTCAGTGATTTCAAGCATGGAACCGGGATAGGTTGCCACCTGTGCAATAAGTCCATCCATGAAATTTCCTTGCTACTAAATATTCCACAGTCAAATGTTAGTGGTGTTATAACAAAGTGGAAGCAACTGGGAACAACAGTAACTCGTAAAATGACAGAGCGGGGTCAGTGCATGCTGAAGTGCCCAGTGCACAGATGTCGCCAACTGTCTTCAGAGTCAATAGCTAGAGACCTCCAAACTTCGTGTCTGGCAATCTGATGGACGTGTCTGGGTTTGGCAGTTGCCAGAATGGTACTTGCCTGACTGCTTTGTGCCAAGTGTAATGTTTGGTGGAGTGGGAATTATGGTGTGGGGTTGTCTTTCAGGGGTTGGCCCCTTAGTTCCAATGAAGGCAACTCTTAAGGTGTCAGCATACCAAGACATTTTGTGCAATTTCATGCTCCCTACTTTGTGGGAACAGTTTGGGGATGGCCACTTCCTGTTCCAACATGACTGTATACCAGTGCACAAAGCAAGGTCCATAAAGACATGGGGTGAGCGAGTTTGCGGTGGATGAACTTGACTGACCTGCACAGGGTCCTGATCTTAACCCTAAATAACACCTTTGGGATGAATTAGAGCAGAGAGACTGCGAGCCAGGCCTTCTCATCCGACATCAGTGCCTGACCTCACAAATGCGCTTCTGAAAGAATGGTCAAACGTTCCCATAGACACACTCCTAAACCTTGTGGACAGCCTTCCCAGAAGAGTTCAAGCTGTTATAGCTGCAAAGGGTAGGCCAACTCAATATTGAACCCTACGGACTAAGAATGGGATTCCATTAAAGTTCATTTGCGTGTAAAGGCAGGCGTCCCAATACTTTTGGCAGTATAGTGTATATGTATATATACTGTATATATCCCTGTTTGTCTTTCAGCATCTATTTTGCAATTTGCAAATGCTGCTGCTAGTCTGAAATCGGTAATTGCCCTGTGTACCTGTGCTTGGCTTAGTCTCAGGGGTGTAAATTCAATGGTGAGGAGAGATGAAAAATGGTACTCACAGAGCAAAATACTACAGTATATAATCATGCAATAATTCACTTCTTCAATCATCCTGATGTTACTGTTACTTCCATTATATGGTACAAATAGTGATGCTTCACATCCCCTGAATGTTTTTTTTTTTATTAATGCCTTTTCATTGTATTTTCTTATTGAATTTTAGTACATAAGAAAGGAAGACATCAACGAGGTACATCTTGTACTGGTCACAGCTGATGTCTTAGTGAAAAACCTGAATTAAAAAAGCGCTTTTGGAGCATGATAGGAATCAACGTTACAACACAACATAAAGAACTGTTTTACCTACAGATGGTCAAGTTCTTATTGACTGGGCCATGGATGCAATACTACATTCGAACCAAGTGTCTCAGGGACAGGGGGGGTGGGGGTGGGTGTGGAGAGGACGATGGTAGAATGGATGGTTGGGTAATGGTGAGTTTGCATCAATATGAGGAAGTCAGGAAATAATGAGATATGGTGTAAAGCAAGCACAGTGCCTCTGGTAATCCAGGGAAAGGGCAAAAGAGGACCGAGGAGGCCCAGGGGGAGAAAAAACAGGAAGGGGTGGAGAAGAGGCACAGGCATGGGGGGGGGGAGATAAGGAAAGGAAGGGAAAGGAGCAATATGATGGGTTTGGAAAGGTGATGAATAGGTAGTAAAGGATGGGGGAATGGTGGAGGGAGGGGCAGGTCACAGTCATATGAACACTAGAGATTTTGGGAGACCATGCATAGAAGGATTTTCAGACTTTTCACAAGTTCCAGTATAATCTCTTTTCTTCCATAGTGGCAAAATCTAGCCAGGAAAATCAGGTGGTACAAAACCTTTTGTCAGTGTCTTTAAGGGAATCAGTGAGCTCCCCATGTGTTTACTGCCATTTATTCTGCTAAACCATTGCTACATGATAAATTGGGTGGGCTGGTTTCATAGTGCAAGGATTCAGGCTCAGGTTGTGTTCACCAGTTGGAATCATAACCAAGTTCCATGATAAAATGGATTTTGACAGTTTTGTGGGTTTTTAGGGGGAAGGTATTGTGGTGTAATTAAAAAGAAGACAGGTCCTTTAGGAAATGTGCAACCTATAGGGTTGATTCACTAAAACTGGAGAGTGCAGTATCTGGTGCAGCTCTGCATAGAAACCAGCTTCCAGGTTTTTCAGTCAACACTTAATGAACAAACTAAAGTTAAAAGCTGATAGACTACTATGTACAGCTGCACCATATTTTGCACTCTCCAGTTTTAGTAAATTAACTCAATTGTATTTCTGCATGTTTGGGACCTGGCCCCAAAAGTGTGTAAGCTTGGAGCATGGCCAAAAGGTGAGTAATATATCTGTGGGTGATGAGCTGAACCACCAACACAGGTCTGGGAAAACTGGGAAAATAGTGTAGAGGATGTGGGGGATCTTTTACCATAAATGAGTACATCTACCAAAAACCTCAAGGACCCTAAAAAATATTAGTATTTCAGGAGTCCCTAATCATAATAGGTGTCAGAGCTTTATAAAATATATATATAAATGCTTTAATTATACATACAAAGATACTAGACATACATGTACACTAATATAAAACCAACTCAATGAACCTCAAGCAATTCACAAAAGGAGAATTTATGACAAGATGCCATGTATTCCATAAATGAATAAAAAATTGTGTAGTCATTAACCACTAGTGAGCCTATTCAAATTATATGTTTTTGGTGTATCAATAGAACAATGAAGCTTGTCTAAGTAGATCTGTTAGGAAAGTCCAATGCCCCTTGGAAAATACAACTTGATGCATAACAAAGGATATGGGTCTCCATATGGGATAGCAATGTGTAAGATATGCACTTCTGTGCTGAACCTCCCTCATACACTATATACAAATGTAGACAGTATCCCCATGGGAAATATATTCCTTGGGTGTCCCAAAAAGAAGGCACCAAAGCCTTTCCAAGTAGATGTGATCCAGAGGAGGAAACCAAAGATGACACAAGTGTCTTTTGACTCCCTTTGATGTCTAATATAAACATCATCCAGGGGAGGATTGAGGTAGTATATGAAAAACCTCCTTCACACATCACAATGCATCCAAGACTGTAATCCAGGTGAAACGTTTCCAAGTTATTCAAGGACTCAATAGTGAGGAAATACTCCATATACAGTAGCCACAGTCCCTCCACAGCAATGGGGATATAGGTCATGGTTAAATTAATACTTATCATCCCTTGGCATCCATACATGAAAGGCGATGCTGTGAGGTCAAAAAGAGATAGAAAGCCATCCTGACTGGTTTTGCTGGGAGACCCAGCTGACTCAGAGGTAGGCTTGTGTTTGTCTGGCATGCTCTGAGAAAGGACCCCTAAAGTGGCCACCTCCTGCCCATTGCATATGTGCGTGTGTCATGACATCACGCACAGTGCGTCATGATGTCATACGCATGCTAGACATCATCAGGCATGCGCAGTACATTAAGTATGCAGGGATCACACAGTAAGGGCATCAATTCATCTCAGAACCTAAACAGAAAGAGAAAAAGTGTGCAAAGGACTGTGTCAGGGCTATCCTGTGGACAAAGTCCATTATATACCAGAAAAAAGATGTCCAAAATAGGTAAAAATAAACTCAAAAACAGCCTTTCATATTTGATCAATGGTATTGTGCTACTACTTTATTTTAATTATTTTCAAAGGTAAATTTACCAAACCCTGACTCATGCCAAGGGTAATCCACATGTAAAATTAAAAACAAAAGGGGGGGGGAGGGGAATGGAGATACCTTACATCATTTTTTTTTTCTGTAGGAATGGAACAAAGCTTAGGCTTTCATTGAGGCCTGGGGGTCTGGTAGCATCTAAGTCCCAGATCCATCTCGCTTCCCGTTGGAGTACCTGTCTATAAAAGTCCCCTCTCTACTAATATGGGGAACTACTTCCAGTACCCAACATTTCAGACATCTGGGGTCACTATTATGTTCTAAACAGACATGTCTGGCCAGTGGGAATTTCAAGTGATATGTGTAAATTTTATATAAATGATCATGAAATCTTTTTCAGACTGTTCGGATGGTTTTGCCGATGTAAAAGGACCCACAGGCACCAGAGAATAATATACTCAACCCCTGTTGTGTTACAACTAGCCATTTGTATGCATCTGAGAGTCCTTCCCATCAGCAAGGTGAGTGTTTTACCTTCTATTATAAAGAAACAGATGTAACAGGTAACACACCTGTGCATCCCAGGTCATGTATGTAATTTTGGGAGAATCCAGTTTATGTCACTGTGTACCAAACGGTCCCCTAGAGAGTTGGTCTTCCTATAAATCAAATTAGGGTAGTTCTTTACATATTTCTCCATTAGCATGTCTTCTTTTAATAAATTCCAATGCTTATCACAAATACTTCTTACATTTTCTGATAGTTCAGTATATTGGATACTTAGCCTAGTTACTTCTTGAGATTTTTTTCTATGTCCAAAGATCAATTCCTCATGATTGGAATCTCTTCCTCTCTCATAGGTTTTTGCAAGCCATTTCTTCTTATATCCCCTTTGTGAAAACCTTTCATGCAAAGAGGAGGCCTACTTTTCAAAGTTTGGCCATTCAGAACAATTTCTCTGTGCCCTCAGATACTGGCCCACTGCAATACGCTGAACCAATGGGGAAGGATGGAAGCTTCCAGCGTCCAATAAACTATTGGTTGCTGTGGCCTTCCTAAAAAGTTCTGTTTTCACACCCCCTTCTCCATCTAACTCAATTGTAAGATCCAAAAAAGTCACCATTTTAGTACTGCATTCACTGGTAAATTTTAAGTTGTATGGATTGTAAGACCATTCACAAAATCCTGCGCCTGTTCAATTGTGCCTGTCCAGAGGATGAGGATGTCATCAAAGTACCTCTATCAGGACAAAATCCTGGACAGGCACAACAATGACGTCCCCGCCCCACCAAAGAACCACAATTCCCAATTCCCTAAGTATATATTGGCATATGCTGGGGCACACTGTGCACCCATCGCCATGCCTTGAGCCTGACAAAAAGTCTTGTTGCTAAATTGGAACTTGTTGTGTGTAAAAAACAATTTCGATAGGTCGACAATAAACTGATTATGTTTTTGTTTATCTATTGCTCTACTGCGCAGTGTCTTCTTAATGACCTGAAGGCCCTTGGAATGTAGGATAGAAGAATAGAGCGCCTCAAAGTCAAGGGTAAGAAGGATGGTGCCAGGAAGGATAGTCAAGATCTTATACCATTGTATTACTATCATGTAGCTAGATATGGAATTTAGCCCTATCTTCTG